GATAATGATAATAATAATGATGATAATGATAATGATAATAATAATGATAATAATGATAATGATAATAATAATAGTTTTGGTATTACTGATTGTGAAAATCATAGTGATATTGACTGTGATAATAATGATGATCTTCAGTTTCATTATTACAACTATCATTATCACCATTCTCAAAAGAAATATATAACCATATATGTATTTTCCTGTTACCCAAAAGGCACCTCTGACCTTGATAAGCTCCAAGTCATCCAGGATGGGGGGCTTCTTCATGCCGAAGTCGTGGGGGATGAGAGTGAAGAAGCGGTTGGAGCAGTCGAGGAGCTGAGCCTTGATCTTGGCCTGATTGGAGGAGGAGGAGGAGGAGGAGGAGGTGGGCGAGGAGGAAGAGGCGTCGTCCTTGGTGTCCTGCTTGTCGGCGATGAGTTTGAGGGCCTCCGAAAGGACCTTGTAGGCGCTCTCAATCTGTTTCTTGCTCAGCTTTCCCAGGGGCATCTTCTTGACGTCAATCTGTGGGGAGGGAGGAGGGGGAGGGGGTGAAGGAGGAGGAGTTAATTGCTTATAAGTTGAAGAGGATGATGAAGACTCTCTTTGCATTTCCTTTGGAGACTAATTGTTCACATTGAAGATGGAAGTTTTTATTTGCCTGAATATGCAGACCACGATGATCTGGTGGATGAAGTCAATTTAAAATATTATTGTAAAGCACTGGAAGGTATACAATGTTGAAGTACAATAGGTACAAAAACAATTTATTACAGAGATTGTGTTGAATTAGTATCCCTCAAACTGGACAACAAATACCACTTTTAAACATTCTTCTATTTAAAATATATCTTGAATGCTTAATCTACTCGTAAAGAAGACTCATTTGACAAATATTTGAAGGGTATAAATATTCCTTAACTCCTACAATCCAGATGACATGACCATCACGCAATGAAAAAATTTGACATGAACTTGCTAAAGCCCTGGGGGGGTGATGGGAAAGACATGCCAAAAGTGTACAATGCTCTTGGAGGGTGATTAGATTCATTAAGCATTGAGAAAGGGGCTTTTGTATTATTTCCATAAATAAACGAGTGTGAAATGTAATGTCTGTGAGCCATGACTGGAAGAATGCTGGAGGACCATATTTCCATGCCCATTTCGGCAGGTTACAGTCCAGAAAAGTGAACATGTATAAGTATAAGTATGTGAGCCTAATGCCCGTACTTTGGGTCTGTGATCACCGTGAAGAAATCAGATCCAATGGGTTAAATACTCCTTCAAAGTAGTGAGAAAAAATTCATATATCATTTAGAACAAGTAGTCAAGAAAGGTAATCAACCTGATAAATAATTAACCTTGCTTTTTGGGATCGTTACTCATTTACTCTTGCTCACGCACCGCTGGAAGAGGACTCGTTCATATTACTTACCTCAAACTCGACAAGGGCACTCTTCATCGTATCGACGTCAAATATGAGCGCGACTAACTCCTGGACTTCCTTTGGTAACTTGCTCTTTGAGCCTCCTGTGGTTGGCTTCTTTACTATTTCTTCTTCCTGTAAATATAAGGAAAGAAATGTTGAACTGATGTGATACCAAGCCTTGCTTTCTAGAAGTGTCATAGGAAATCACTTTATTAGAGGTATAATGCATTTTAAAACTATACACACCAGAAACAAACAAACTATTTTCAGTAGATCACAGTCCTTCCTGATCAAGACAAAAACGCCAGCCGAAACAGCCCACCACTTAACCCCAACCCCAAGGATATGCAGAAACCCCCATTGCCTTGCACTCACCTGGCCGTAGTCGATGTCCAGTGGATACCAACAGCCGGGCACCTTGTTGAATTCTTTGGCAGAGAAGCGGTTGCCCGTCTTCTCCTCGTAGAGCCCCTCAAACTGGGCCAGAGCGTCCTGCAGGTCCTCCTTGTTTTCCAGCTTGTTGTTGCCAATGGTCGTGCCAATGCGACCCCACGAGCGGAATAACCACCACCTGGAATTAGTGGCCAAGGTATTTCAATATCTTTTAACAAGATTTCATCATTAGATTGAATTTTTTCTTTTTTCTTTTCTTTATTTCTTTCTTTATTTCATTCATACTGCTTTGTGTCCTCTTCCCCATACATGTTTTTCCTATCGCTCTCCAGCACCTGCAGCTTGTAGTAGGAGTTGGTCCCTCGCACGATGTCCACCATGCCCAAGACACAGTTGTATATCTTCTTGCCTCCCTTCAAGTTTGAAAAAGAGAAATATAAACTTGTGATCCACACTGTGATAACATGGCTGAATAGTAGTTAAACGGGTAAATAATTAACTTCTTATTTTATACATCAGCATTTCATATCTATATCTAAATCTATCTATACAGACATGCATTTTTACACATATATGCTTATATCTATATAATTATATTCACAGATTTCCTTAACCAGATATATATACAAGTACTCACGTGTCTATTTGTTCTACATCCTTCACTATCTATCTATCTATCTATCTATCTATCTATCTATCTATCTATCTATCTATCTATCTATCTATCTATCTATCTATCTATCTATCTATCTATCTATCTATCTATCTATCTATCTATCTATCTATCTATCTATCTATCTATCTATCTATCTATCTATCTATCTATCTATCTATCTATCTATCTATCTATCTATCTATCTATCTATCTATCTATCTATCTATCTATCTATCTATCTATCTATCTATCTATCTATCTATCTATCTATCTATCTATCTATCTATCTATCTATCTATCTATCTATCTATCTATCTATCTATCTATCTATCTATCTATCTATCTATCTATCTATCTATCTATCTATCTATCTATCTATCTATCTATCTATCTATCTATCTATCTATCTATCTATCTATCTATCTATCTATCTATCTATCTATCTATCTATCTATCTATCTATCTATCTATCTATCTATCTATCTATCTATCTATCTATCTATCTATCTATCTATCTATCTATCTATCTATCTATCTATCTATCTATCTATCTATCTATCTATCTATCTATCTATCTATCTATCTATCTATCTATCTATCTATCTATCTATCTATCTATCTATCTATCTATCTATCTATCTATCTATCTATCTATCTATCTATCTATCTATCTATCTATCTATCTATCTATCTATCTATCTATCTATCTATCTATCTATCTATCTATCTATCTATCTATCTATCTATCTATCTATCTATCTATCTATCTATCTATCTATCTATCTATCTATCTATCTATCTATCTATCTATCTATCTATCTATCTATCTATCTATCTATCTATCTATCTATCTATCTATCTATCTATCTATCTATCTATCTATCTATCTATCTATCTATCTATCTATCTATCTATCTATCTATCTCCTGGACTTCCTTTGGTAACTTGCTCTTTGAGCCTCCTGTGGTTGGCTTCTTTACTATTTCTTCTTCCTGTAAATATAAGGAAAGAAATGTTGAACTGATGTGATACCAAGCCTTGCTTTCTAGAAGTGTCATAGGAAATCACTTTATTAGAGGTATAATGCATTTTAAAACTATACACACCAGAAACAAACAAACTATTTTCAGTAGATCACAGTCCTTCCTGATCAAGACAAAAACGCCAGCCGAAACAGCCCACCACTTAACCCCAACCCCAAGGATATGCAGAAACCCCCATTGCCTTGCACTCACCTGGCCGTAGTCGATGTCCAGTGGATACCAACAGCCGGGCACCTTGTTGAATTCTTTGGCAGAGAAGCGGTTGCCCGTCTTCTCCTCGTAGAGCCCCTCAAACTGGGCCAGAGCGTCCTGCAGGTCCTCCTTGTTTTCCAGCTTGTTGTTGCCAATGGTCGTGCCAATGCGACCCCACGAGCGGAATAACCACCACCTGGAATTAGTGGCCAAGGTATTTCAATATCTTTTAACAAGATTTCATCATTAGATTGAATTTTTTCTTTTTTCTTTTCTTTATTTCTTTCTTTATTTCATTCATACTGCTTTGTGTCCTCTTCCCCATACATGTTTTTCCTATCGCTCTCCAGCACCTGCAGCTTGTAGTAGGAGTTGGTCCCTCGCACGATGTCCACCATGCCCAAGACACAGTTGTATATCTTCTTGCCTCCCTTCAAGTTTGAAAAAGAGAAATATAAACTTGTGATCCACACTGTGATAACATGGCTGAATAGTAGTTAAACGGGTAAATAATTAACTTCTTATTTTATACATCAGCATTTCATATCTATATCTAAATCTATCTATACAGACATGCATTTTTACACATATATGCTTATATCTATATAATTATATTCACAGATTTCCTTAACCAGATATATATACAAGTACTCACGTGTCTATTTGTTCTACATCCTTCACTATCTATCTATCTATCTATCTATCTATCTATCTAGTCATCCATTTATCTATTCATTTAGTTCTTCATGTCCCCAAATAAATAAGCTATTACACTTGGAATGCACTGATACCTAACCATGAAATTGGCTGACTAATGTCTACTCTTCTATCATTCATAAAAATATACTCATTATATTAGTTTCAACCAATCACAGACAAGATTAGATACATTTAGAAGAAAATAACAACTTTATCTAACTTTGCTTGGGAGTTATGGCATTTTGAGAGCTGCAAACTGCAGCTTTTTTCTTTTTTCATTTTTTCTTTTTCCTCTCCTTTGCTTTGTCATCTGGCGAGTTCTGTTAAAAAGTGTCTCTCATTGTAGAGGCAGCATCAGACTACCTTTAGGGTTGACCTTGGAAGGTCATCAGGTCAAAATACCTCAAGAACCCCAGTGTTTAATCCCTTCATCCACGCGGAAACAAGCTCAAGAAGCCTCCTCCCTCCCCCACCTGATACACGTGGGCCCTGTCATCGAGGCCAGAGTCTGGGTCAACAGCTGCTCCTCCCTTCAATTTGATCTTCTGTTTGTCTGGCATGCTCTTGGTGAATCGAGACTCTGTAGGGAAAAAGGAAAACCGGTAATGGGGGCATTAGGTTGTTGTTAGATTGGTTGTAGATAAGTGTTGAATTTCACTGCCAAACTTACTGTATAATTTTCTACAATATAAAAGTTGTCAGGATATTTGTATCACAGATCAATAAAGAAAGATAAAAAAAGTGTACTCATGCTCTCTGCTTCACGTATTGCAACATCTGACAAACAAGAGGAGACAATAATCTAAAGGCCTGATAACAAGAACATAAAGTATGCTAAAAAGATGGGAATCCTTACCGAATTTGGATTTTGTTGATGACTTAGAAGCATGGACTCTGTCCTGGGGCTGTAAGAGATCAAATGTACTGTAAGTCAAAGCCATGATGTAACAAGATACTGATTTCAATAACAATATTAAGACAAAACAAATAGACTTTTAAAAAGACCTGTTACTTTCAAGTTGATACATATTCTAGCATTGACCAACTCCCTGATGGTCAGGAAATTTATCTAGGGATGTCTAAATTATTAACAAAAGGGAATTTCTAGAAGAACTCAGAATAAATGCAAGGGAGTGTCACGTATTAATCTCAACCTTGTGCCAAACGTGAGAGATGACCTATGCACGCTTAAAATCACAAATCATCCAGTAGCTTAAACAATGACCTTTCAGACGGGAAGAACCAACAATCATATTGTTTTTTGTTTTTTATACGAAGTTCCACATATATCATAGTTCAAACTTTATTTCATCAAAAATATAAAACCAAGGGAATTAGAAGGTCCAAGAGCCTTTTTTTCTTTCTCTTACAGAACATGGAATCAGATCAATACTACTCCATTACCTTATACCATTCTACATGAACCCACTCAAGCTAAGAGGGTATTCATGCATGCATTCACTGCAATTTTTGTTTATCAATATTGTTTACACATAGATGGCTCCACAGTCACCAAGGAGTTAATTATTAGGCCTAACTGATATTTCCCCTGACTATCCTTTTCCTTTAATTTTCAGGACAAAAGGTGTTACCTTCATTTCCATTTGTATTATTTACAGTCATAATGATAAAAGTAGCAACAATAATAATAAAAATATTCATAATCATAATCATAATAATAAAATAATAATACAATGATAAAATAATAATAATAACAATAACAATAACAATAACAATAACAATAACAATAACAATAATAATAATAATAATAATAATAATAATAATAATAATAATAACAATAATAATAATAATAATAATAACAACAACAACAACACTTACATCGCCACCCCACGGTGCCAGGTTCTTCTTCTGGATCATGAGCAGTGCCCCCCCCTTCTCCACCTCCTCCAGGAAGTCGTCACTCACGCACTGGATGTTGTGCTCCTTGGCTGCATCGATCTTCTTGTTGGTGCCCCCGATGTGGTCTGCAGGAGGGAACGAGGGGGCGTTTGTGGGTCACTTTTGGGTCACTGGTTGTATTTTCAGTATTGGTTTTGGTTTTATTATTATAGGTATTATTAACACTGTTAATATCAGTGGTGGTGGTGGTGATGGTTTGATTGATAGAGAAAGTAAATGAAAGAGGAAAAGGAAAAGAATGTGAAAAGGAAAAGAGGGGAAGAAGACAAATAATGAACTAAAGAAACCAAGAAAGAGGAAGAGAGAGGAAAAGAAATGAAAGGGAGACACAGCAACAAAAAACTTGAGAAGCCAAGAAAGAGAAAGAGAATGAAAAAGAAATATAGAAATATGAAAATCCACCACCCAAACAACAGCAACGGACCAGCAGTCGTGATGACAGCTGCGGTGTTCTTCTCCACTTTGGTTGCCACTTCTCCTCCGAGCTCCTTGATCTTGTTCTTCATCTCCTTTTTATCCATTCCGAACTTGTCTCCAACGATGACGAACTTCATGCCCTCTAGCGGTTTGCCTGAGGTTGACATGGACGAGCTGGGATGCAGAGGGAGAAAAAGAATTAAACCTCAGTGGTCTCTGCCACACTTCAAGTACAGATCCCCAACAGTTCCAGCTGGCACACTCCTATGGTACGTGGACTGTATTTTTTCTGGCAAGACACGAATGGTTTCCAGTATTCTGAGAATGGAATGCTCTTGTGATTGGCTCATGATATTTTGCAAATATTTTCACAGACAACTAATATCAGCTTTTAAAATTATGTTAAAAAGTTGGAAACATTACAATGTTTGTCCAATGCCAACAATACTGCTTGAAATACATAGTGGAGTTGGTATAACTGGCAACTTTAACTTTAGCACAATAACAATAGCCAGACATCAATTCAAAAATTTAGTCTCAAATCATCTTTTGATAAAAAATTCTTTGGTAAAGAGACACATAAAAGTTCTCCTTGAATGCATGAGTCAGCAAAATACAAATAACATATGTTATTTGCAAATGTAAATCATTAGGTTTTCTCACCCAATTCATTGTCTCTTCACAGCTCCCTTATGGATTTTATGAATGACAAATTACCTGACTACTTAAAGGGTTGTTTATGCTGACTTGTAAGAGGTCAGGAAGGCATATTCGGGTAACATTGAGTGACTCTTAAAATGATAAAAGATTTGCAGAACATGGGGTCAGAAATTTCTGATAGGTCATTAGAGCTGGCGTTTAGGAGGACTGTTTATTAAGCATATCCCAGGTTGATATTCATGTTTAAAAAAAGGTTACACTTAAAATCAAAGACTGGTTAAGTATTTAACCCCTTAAAGCCGGGTGACGCTGATCGGCGTGAAAACAAACCGCTCGAAAGTTGGTGTGCGGCTGTACGCCGCCGCGCCGCGCCAAAGTGCAGTGAGCCAGTGATTCTGGCTGATGTACCCTACTTATGCGCTCAAAGTCGGCGCGCCGCCTTTGTTTGCCAGAGCGTAGAGTTTTTTTGTTTTTTTTGTACACCCGGAACCATTGGGTTAAGAATGGAAGAACACTATTATGCATTCTGTATACTATCAAATACATACAACTACAAAGCTATGATGTAATAGCTGTTGGCGATAGTAATTTTTTGTGTCTGATTTCAAACACTTCTCTTTTTCTTTTCTTTTTTCTTTTTCTTTTCTCTTTCTATACTGATGTGTGTATCAACAATAAACAATTACAAAAATTGAATATTCATATATGTTATGTATGACCTGTAGTTAAAAAAAATATCAATATAATAGTTAACAAACACAAACATTAATTTACTCACCCATTTTCTGCCTTCACGGTCAATTCAGCAGTTGACGGTCCGTGATCAATCCACACTCTCTTCTGAATTCCTTTGAATTTATACTGATTCCTGAAAAATATATACATCTCTATACATATAAATATTATCATATCATATCTTAGAACATAACATATATATATAGAGGAGGAGGAGGAGGAGGAGGAGGAGGAGGAGGAGGAGGAGGGAGGAGGAGGAGGAGGAGGAGGGGGAGGAGGGAGGAGGGAGGAGGGAGGAGGGAGGAGGGAGGAGGGAGGAGGGAGGAGGGAGGAGGGAGGAGGAAGGAGGAAGGAGGAAGGAGGAAGGAGGATGGAGGAACAGGAACAGGAAGAGGAACAGGAAGAGGAACAGGGGGAGGAGGAGAAAGAGGATTAGAAGGAAGAAGAGGAGGAGGAAGAGGAGGAGGAAGAGGAGGAAAAGGAGGAAGAGGAAGAGGAAGAGGAAGAGGAGGAGGAGGAGGAAGAGGAAGAGGAGGAGGAGGAGGAACAGGAGGAGGAGGGAGGAGGGAGGAGGGAGGAGGAAGGAGGAAGAGGAACAGGGGGAGGAGGAGGAAGAGGATTAGAAGGAAGAAGAGGAGGAAAAAGGAGGAAGAGGAGGAAGAGGAGGAGGAGGAGGAGGAGGAGGAGGAGGAGGAGGAGGAGGAGGAGGAGGAGGAGGAGGAGGAGGAAGATTAAGAGGAAGAGGAAGAGGAAGAGGAGGAAGAAAAGGAGTAGGAGGAAGAGGAGGAGGAGGAGGAGGAGGAGGAGGAAAAGGAGGAGGAGGAAAAGGAGGAGGAGGAAGAAAAAGAGGAGGAGGAGGAAAAGGAGGAGGAGGAGGAAAAGGAGGAGGAGGAGGAAAAGGAGGAGGAGGAGGAAAAGGAGGAGGAGGAGGAAAAGGAGGAGGAGGAGGAAAAGGAGGAGGAGGAGGAAAAGGAGGAGGAGGAAAAGGAGGAGGAGGAGGAGGAGGAGGAGGAGCAGCAAGAGGAAGGAGGAGGAGGAGCAGCAAGAGGAAGGAGGAGGAGGAGGAGGAGGAGGAGGAGGAGGAGGAGGAGGAGGAGGAGGAGGAGGAGGAGGAGGAGGAGGAGCAAGAGGAAGGAGGAGGAGGAGGAGGAGGAGGAGGAGCAAGAGGAAGGAGGAGGAGGAGGAGGAGGAGGAGGAGGAGGAGGAGGAGGAAAAGGAGGAGGAGAAAGAAGAAGAGAAAGAGGAGGAGGAGGAGGAGGAGAAGGAGGAGGAGGAGGAGGAGGAGGAGGAGGAGGAGGAGGAGGAGGAGGAGGAGGAGGAGGAGGAAGAGGAAGAGGAAGAGGAAGAGGAAGAGGAAGAGGAGGAAATGGAATTTAAAAATTTGTGAAAAAAATATTTGTTAAAATCAGAACCAACTACATAAAAAAAACACACTGCAAAGTATCTATTCACTTCTATTTCAAAAATGTAAAATAAATATAAAACAAAGAATTAGAACTTGGCATAGCATCCAAAACATCAAAATTAAAAAAAAATGGAATGTTACATTTACTCACAAGAAGTCAAAGCTATTTTTCAGCTCTTCGGGAATTTTAAATGGACGGCGCTTTGGTTCCTTGACAATATTAGTGCATTTAGTCCATTCGGTGAGGTTGCCGTGGCACTTGTAACCTTTACCAGACCTTGGGTGAGGAGGAGGAAATAATGCTGATTATACATGTGATAGCAAAAAATTGGCTTAATTGAAAAGGTTTTTGAGTTCTATACATTATGATGCATAAAATTTGCATAAAGGTAACATTTATTGAGGTAACAAAATCAAATTTGAAGGAAAACAATGTTTACTTGTGGTAATAACATCCTGCACATATGCAC